TATCAATTAGATCATGACATCATAACGCTCTTATTGTCACCTCCCCTCCTAAACCTCATTCCTCCCCACTTCCCATCCCCAGATTCCTGCATTTTTGTGGATTTCGGGCATTCCTGATTCTAGGTCAGACACAATTTAATAGAATCTTCCCTCTTGATCTGTCTGCTGCTGTAATTTAAGACAATTCCTTGTCTATCTTTTGATTCAGGCAGAAACCATCCCGGTCTTTGAAACTCTCACAAAACACTGAAAGCACCCAAGGCAGTTTAAGTGGCCCGTTATCAGGCAGGATTACCAATTCAAACTGCTTCCATTCTTAAAGGAAAGTGCCATGCAAAATATTCCAGAATCCTGCTTGTCTATTGGAGATTGGATTTGCCATTAATTACACCTTCCATTACAGGTAGTCCTCAACTTATGGACACAATTCAGCCCAACCTTTTTGTTACTAAGCAAGACAATCGTTAAGTGATTTTTGCCCCATTTTAAGATCTTTCTTGCCATAGTTGTTAAGTGAATCATCAGAGTTATTAAGTTAATAACATGGTTGTTAAATGAATCTGACTTCCCTACTTATTTTGCTTGTCAGAAGGTCACACATGGTAATTACATGACCCCAGGGCAGTGCAACCATCATAAATATATGCCGATTGCCACGTGTCCAAATTTTAATCATGTGACCATGGGGATGCAACATTTGAAAATAAAATGTCACTTTTTCGGTGACATTGTAACCTTGAACGGTCACTAAATGAATGATTGTAAGTCAAGAACTACATGTTATACATGTCATACATGTTACAGGAGGATAAAAATGCAAAAGGCTAGCAAGTTTATTCTTCTACATAAACAAAAAAAATGATCATAGTGGTCTTCTATTACCTTTCCACCAAAAACAATCCCAGTTAAGAAATGAGATGCAAATTAAACCTTGTCAAATTATGAGACATTTTAATCACTGGCAATTTAGTCGAGAATCTTGCAAAGAATTTCAGGCGTGATTCAAAAGTACATTGATCTCTTTGGCAAGCGTGTAAAAACTGAACGAAATGGGAAATAGGACCCTTGTAACTATGAGCTTCCCAGCACTAGCATGGACTGCAATAAATTACAAAGTCTGCATTCCATTTGCTGAAATAGACTCGATTTATCATTTTATTTTAAAGAGATTCCATTATGCTAATGTCTTACAAAAGCACTTTCTAGTCTTTCTAGAAGGTCAACAGAGGACACAAATTATGAGATTTAGAAGTATGTCAGAGAGCAAAGCAAAAGTACTAAGTTTTAATAAAGAGAGACATAAACATGGCTACTTTCAACAATTTTATAAAAATACTTTTTGTAGACATATCAATAGATATAGACATATTTCCTATTTTCACTTGTCACTTGTTAATAATAGAAGCTAGTTAATTAAAATGAGGTTTACTTTATAAAATATCATTTCCCACCACACAAATTTAAGAGTCTGATTTTTTGGTGTGCATGTGGCACATTGTCCAGATACGCACAACCCAAGATTAATAAAATATTATGCCTTGGAATGGAAAACAGTTTGTCTCTAAGAGCTGAAAAGAAATATGGTTTCTAAATGTAGCATTTCAACAAACAGACTTTTCCCTTAAAAAGATAAATCTTGTACGTCTTTCGCTGCCACAGGAAGAATTCAGGATCTATTTAAATGCATTTTTATATAATATGATAATTCCTAGAATGTAGAACAATTGCTCAGTTAAAGTACTGCAGATAATGCTTATTATTGTTGCTTTGTTTGTTAAAAATAGAATTGGAATAGTATTAATAGAGCCATTTTGAATCAAGTGTCATGCACGGTGCCATATACATAATATGTAATGAAAATAACAATCTGTTTCTATTAATGCTTTAAGGTTTTCAAAAAGCAGCATATAACATAGGTATCCTTATGGAAAACAGTGTACAAATTTAATGTTTGGCTATAAGGACACAGATTTTAAACTGTATGAAAATGTATGTGTATATTTTAATTTAAATATTTAAATAAATATCAAATTTAAAGGTAAACCAATCAGAATACAGGACAGATTTTTTTTTTATGCCTTCAAGTCAATTTTGACTCCTGACAGTCAAGTCACTGGAACAGTCACTGCTGTTTTCTTGGCAACATTTTAGAAGTGACCTTGTCTTCTTCCTAGGGTTATGAAAGAGTGACTGAATTAAGGTCACCCAGTTGGCTTTATGTCTAAGGTGGAACTAGAACTCACAGTTTTCCAATTTCCAACTGGTGACTTAACCACTGCACCAAACTGGCTCTGTATAGGGCAGAATATAGAAAATAAAATAGATTTAGCTATCGAAAGAACTGTGTACTTTAAAATAAAGACATTCTTCAAGAGCACAAAATACCACTAATGAATGAAGAACCTTTGAAGCTAATAAACTGTGAGCGTGAGATGATTATTTCTGCTTAGAATGGACAACCCTAATTCCTTTACCTCAAATTCATCTCTCTCTCTTTCTCTCTCTCTCTCACACACACACACACACACACACGCACACGCACACATACATACACACACGCACACACTCCTCATATCCTCTCTTTGCCTTCTCAGTTCTTTAATGTTATTTTATTAGCTGAAAAGGGATTCTTCTATTCTTTCTTGAAGAAGAAACAACCCCCCCCAAAGATTATGTTCTTATACTTACAAGCAGTAGGTTTAATCTGTTCTGTATTGAACAAATTAATCTTTTTATTCAGAGATCAAATGATCTTTCGGTGATGAAAAAACCTGCAATTTATCAACCTGGATCATATTAATGTAAAGAAAAATGCACATACTATATATTTCTGTTTCTTGTGGCCACTATCTTGAGGAAAAAACATGTGATTTATGGAAAAAAATGCTTATCACTAAACCTACAGCTTGATAAAACTTCAAAAGATGACCCAATATAATATGGGTACTGAAGAAAATTCACCTATTTCCTGAAATGATTATTTCAGACCAATAAGCTTGGATGAACGCTGATTTAATTGCAATCTATCATGTTCTTTTAATCCTTCAAATGTTGGTTAATCCATGCAAGATTAGTACAAACAAGCAAGTTCTTCATCTGAAATGTTTGTTCTAACATTAAAAAAAAATAACCCTCTCTGTACTGAACTTAAGGATTTACTTAAGGATACAAGAGGATAAATTCTTAGGCATCCTGTTTTTAATGAAGGAAGATGAAAAGTCACACACAGCAGCAACTGTGCTGTTGGTATATACATGATTCATTTGTTGAGCATTTATAGCTGCTCCCACTGCACTATATCACAACAGAAGTGCATGCTTTACCCAAGGCCCTTTAGATGGTGCTCCCATTTTGATGGAGTTCTCAAGAAAAAGATATCTACTTCCTCCTTCCCCCACCAAATAAAACCCACAGGTCTTGAATATTCAGATCAATGCAATATTAAAATCAGTAAGAAGAGAGGAGCATCATATTGTTTCTTGACCTGAAAGTAATTTGACAGTGTAAATTTGGACATGTGACAAGCAATACAGTAATTTGGATTGCTTTTTTGCCTTAGGCAACTTGAGTCTCGGAACATTTTTTTTTTTGTAGATGCTCAATAACTAAACCAATTTTTAGCCTTTTGTAAGAATCTTTCTTCTTGTAATTCCAAGAAGCTACTCTCAAGAGATTATTTTGTTTTTTATCTAGCTCGGCTGTACTCAGTTCCAGCTTGAAGCTCCTATTAGATGCTATGTACAATTTTTTTAAAAAATCATTAGACAATGCTAATAACTTATTCATGTTAAGAACTGAGTATATAAATATGCAGTTTTGATATGACTATGGAAAAATCCTACTTAACAGATAAATTTAATAATATAGTTAGAATAATAAATAACCAGTTAGATGAGGGCTAAAATAGGTCTGGAAACATGTGTTCATGTTCGTTTTTTTTTCTAATGCTTAGGTCTAATATTTGCAATTCTGTTCTTCCCCGATGTATAAATTGAGCAACTCAGTTTGGAGACAGCAGCCAAAAGTTACATCCAGCCCTTGTTTGAACAAGTTGCTCACTAAGAACTACCCGCAATGCTGGAATGAGGTTGAAATACCGATCAATGCTATTTGGACACTCCAAAGAATCTCAGTCCAGATATAGCTTTAAATAACATTATTCTTTTTCTTCTGGGCTTGAGTGATATAACTCTTGAGTCAGCCCTAATTTCTAAAATTTTGTTTTTTTAGTGCATCTCAAATAATTCAATGAAATGATCCATACATTTTCTAGATTCCAGTGCTTCCCAAATATCTTCTGTGCAGCTATCAAGAAGATTCAAGTAAACTTCTTTTGTTCAGTCTAAAATATTTCCTTCTACCTTCAGAATTTAGAGGACTTACCTCTTGTTAAATTCTAAACAATATCTTGTACTAGAACTGAATGACTCTCTCTGCTAATTAAAAAAAATAAAGAGTAAAATGAGATTAGAGAAAATAGTTTGTTTCTTGGGTTGACAACAAGAATTAAACAAAGAAAATTAAATATGTATGCATAAGACTATATTGGACTAGTGACTCCCAAATAGATCTTGGGTATTATACAATTCCAAGAGATAATTCAGGTAAACTTAGAACCATCACAGAATGCCTCGGTTAAAAAGAAAAATAATGAGGCGAAAGGAATTCTGAAAATACTGTGTCTAAATTTTAATAACTTTACAGAAAAGAACATAATTCAGTAACAGCAGGACCAATCTCAGTAATGTCAAAATGATGACAGGTACAATGTTGTCAGCTAACCAATGTTGCATATTTGCATTTCAGCCTCTGATGCAAATACATTGCATGGCATTTGTGTGATGATGCCATCAGGCCCGTGTCATCACTTTTCCTACCATGCACATGTATGCTATGAATTTGCAGCTACACAGAAAGCTTTACAACAAAGAAAAAAAATGCAAACATGTCTATTTTGAATGAGTAGATTCATGTTGTTCAGCTGATCTTTAAGAACTTACCTGAATTATTAGGTGGAATAGGAATTCTGTTGTCCAAAATCACAGCAAGTCCCAATGAGTCAGAAGGTAAAAGGTTGGTACTAAGATCCACACGAGTGAGACTTGTGGATTCTCTTCCATTGCTTGATAGGAGGAGCCTGGGATTTTCATTCTCACTCTTCTGCCGATTCTGAACAATATGAACAATACTTTGCTGGGGTAGATCACAGTTCTGGAGAGGGGGAAAAAAAATCAAATTCCCATACATGTTAGAGTTTGAAGTCTTCATTATCATCTCATCTAATTTTTTTACACAGTTCTCAAATACATTTAATATAGAGTGAGTGGCCAAGGGTCGGAATGGCTGACAACAATGACTCTAAGAATAATGAATCTTAAGAAAAAGTGATGTAAACTGCCGAACAGGGCATTATTTCCTTCACCAAAAAGGTCAAAATATTTGGACATTTCTATACCTTAAACAAAAAACATCGAAACCAATCAACCTTGCTAAAATATTTTACATAAAGATAATATAATAATAATAATAATAATAGTAGTAGTAGTAGTAGTAGTAGTAGTAGTAGTAGTAGTAGTAGAAGAAAAGTTGGAAGGGACCTTGGAGGTCATCTAGTCCAACCTCCTGCTCAGGCAGGAAACCCTATACCATTTCAGACAAATGGCTGTCCAGTCTCTCCTTAAAAACTTCCAGTGTTGGAGCATTCACCGCTTCTGGAGGCAGGTTGTTCCACTGGCTAATTGCTCTAACTATCAGGAAATTTCTCCTCAGTTCTAGGTTGCTTCTCTCCTTGGTTAGTTTCTACCTGTTGCTTTTTGTCCGGCCTTCAGGTGCTTTGGAAAATAGTTTGACTCCCTCTTCTTTGTGGCAGCCCCTGAGATATTGGAACACTGCTATCATGTCCCCCCTCGTCCTTCTCTTCATTAAACTAGGCTTACCCAATTCCAGCAGCCATTCCTTATATGCTTTAGCCTCCAGTCCCCTAATCATCTTTGTTGCTCTTCTCTGTACTCTTTCTAGAGTCTCAACATCTTTTTTACATCGTGGTGACCAAAACTGGATGCAGTATTCCAAGTGTGGCCTTACCAAGGCATTGTAAAGTGGTATTAACACTTCACGTGATCTTGATTCTATCCCTCTGTTAATGCAGCCTAGCACTGTGTTGGCCTTTTTGGCAGCTGCAGCAAACTGCAGGCTCATATTTAGGTGGCAAAGATTGATTCACCGAAACTTGTGTTTCAAAAGTATAACTGGAAAGTGAATGGCAAAGTTTTATATGGGCCCACTAGGCCACTTTATTCAAAGTTTATGCAAGAGTACTTTTAATTTGTGCTTCTTCTCCTGGAACCTCAAAATGTAGAGATGATGTTTATGTCTAGGTGAGAACCAGCATTTTTAATTAGATTTAAATGGCAGGCAGTGTCATTTAAGATGGGCATGATACTAGCACTAATATACTTTCCTGTCTAGCCATGGGCCCTATGTAATGGTCTATGAGGAAAAAGGAAATAGGGTGAAGAGGCAGAACTAAGGTGAAGAGACATGGTCTACGGAATGGTCAGATAAAAGAGACTCAGAGGAACCTGTACTAACTTCACAGACTATAGAGGAAGCAGTGAGGGATTTGTACTTTCAGACTTAAAAGATTCTGTTAATGTAACCTTTTAATAAAGTAGAATTAGCTCATCTGGTTGTTTTTCCTGTCTGATCTACTTGGGAAGGCTGAATCAATCCTGCACATTTGTGATCCCTTCGCCCCATTTCTCAAGTTCTTTCTCACATACCACATTCTCCACTCATGTGTCTAGCAGCTACTTTCCAAATCCCATCCATTTCTAAAGGGCTTTTTGCAACAATTCCTTGTGAATACAGTGATTTCAGTTTTTGTTTTAAAATCAGAGAATTATGGGGTGTCTCAAAAAAAAAACCCTTGAATAAAGTGTCCTTTAATTGTAAAGACCTAATTCTTCATATTAAGTGTCCTTTAGTGCTAAAGATATACATTCAAAATAACTATTATATAGAATCCATTACTGGCATAATTAGCAAAACCAACCTTTTCCTGGAAAAATCATACAGCGTAAAACTGAGCTTTGTTAATCTATTTGATAATCCAGTTCTAGTTCAAATGGCCTTATTTTCTGTGATAAGAAGAGAAATCATATTCAAGTGGAAGTACAAATCTCCTTGTCTGTTCAGTATGCATTCTGTGGATTACTGCTTTGGAACCATTTTGGACATAGAATTGGAGAAGTGACATACAGAGAAAAGGTTTTCATATTAAAGTTTAAAAGTTTGTGAATACTTTATTTTCCACGTACTTTATTTTCAAGTACATGGATTTTGGATTGTGATCCTTCAGTTTCAGAACTGTGTTTCCCATAGTATCCCTGAGTTTACAAACTTTCCTGCTTGGGACAGATTTACTTCACAGAAGGTTGCAATAATAAAATATGCATATAAGAGTGAAAAACCCAACATTTTGTTACCTAGATAGGGTAGTATACAAATCCATTAATCTGATTCATTGATGTAACATGTCTATCCAATTGCGATTTAACACAAAATGTTGAATAATCACTGATGGATTCCAAATTTATCTTACTTATTGTAGGTGTACAGAGGGAAATGAGTCTGCCAGTACTAATTTAATAAATCTATTTTTATTTTATTGAATCAATTTTATTATATTAAATGTATAATATGGTAAAGTATACATTATACAAGGTAAATGTATAATAATGTCATTTAAACCATAATATATACAATCTGGACTAAAATATGAAACCAGTTCATGCAATTTTTACATTTACCATTCCAACAAGTACAACTATAAGGGATTTTTTTCTTTTATGACACAATTAGCTTGTGTAACAATTGAGAAATTAATAACGACTACTAGAAAGATGAGACTATAACACTAGACAAAGCTGTCACATATGAAGTAGCTTTTGAAACTGAAAGTTACACATTCACTTTAATGCAAAATCAATTCTCAGGGATAGAATTCGGAGAGACATAAAGTAACACACTAAAAAAAAGAGGAGAAACATAAAAAGTCCTCCATAGAGAAAAAACTAAAAACATCACATCTGATTGCTCTATTATTACTGTACTACCCTTTAAGACTTAGAGGACAGACTGCATGTTGTATCTTTAAACTGTGATTCACAGAAATAAAATCAATTAGGAAAAAACACCTGCTTATCCACCCTGCCCTTTTCATTTTTGCTTAGAATTGTAAGAACTAGTGGGCAGAAGTCTAAATTACCAGTAGATGGCAGGAAATAGCAATTTCCATGTTTATTTGCTGTCATCTAGATTTTGCATTCTTGACTGGCAAGGCCTTAGAAAATGAGTCAAAAAGGCTTTTCCCACCCTTTCCTCACTCTTTTAGGAAAAATAGGATGTTACAGAGCCTGAAGTCTAATGTAAATCCTGTCATGTTGCTTGAGACTAACTAGCACAAATAAGGACGCTATTTGAATCCATTAATGTGTACGGAAACCCTATTCCTGTACAAAAATACAAAAACAATTCACTGATTCCCAAATTACTTCATAACGTGGGAAATGGAGGACTGAAGATGGCTCCAAAAAGCTAAACTGATGACTGTGGTAGAATGAAGAACCATGGAGTAGATTTGCTCTTCCATAATTTCTCTTCAGACAAGGAGAGGACTTTGGTCATCTATAAGTGCTCCTGATAGCTGCTCCTTGCAAGGAGACCTCAAAATAATGGTCTGCAGCAGATTTAGACTTCTGGGAGATGAGGGAATACCCAACTTGCTCAAACCATGGTTGGTGCCTTTGAAAGGAAACTAAGTTTGCATATTTTATTTTCTAACTACTTTGGGGAATTGCTTTTTAGCTATTAGGAATCTTTAGGATCAAACAAGTTTGATGACATTGGGTGAGTTTTCTTTAGCAAAAGAAATGTTAACTACAAATTTAAGAACTTGGGTTCAATGTGGGCAATGGGCAGCATGGGCAGTTATATATATTTCCAGAATAGTACACATGTGCTATTCTATGTGAGCAGCATTGGTTGTCAGTTTGTTTCTGAGTCCAATCATGATGTTGGTTTTAACCTTTAAAGTCCTTCACAGCATGGGATTGGGTTATCTGAGGAACCACTCTGCCCTCATTACATCTGCCTGTCTCATTAGATCTGCAAAGAGGACATGCTTCAGGTACTGCCTGCTAAGGACTTACACTTGGAGGGTTCCAGGAGATGCACTTTCTCTACCATATTTGTGGAATATTCTGCTCCCTACCCCAAAGTGAAGTTATACTCATCCTTGTTAATGTTTCATAAGTCCCTAGGACCTGGTGATGTCAACAGCCTAGAGATCTCAGGGGTCTGCTGATATTCTAAGATGTCTCTCTCCTAAACATGGTTGTATTGCTTATGAGAAGGTTGAAAATATAAATTTGAAAAATAAATAAATAATTTTAAACACTAATTCTGGAATAAAAAGCAAAGGGGTGATTAAAACTTTGATTTTAGAATGTTACAAACAGATTAAGAGTCCAGGTAAATCTGAAATGAGATTTTGAAATTGATTATAAAGGATCCATTTGTTTTGATTTTTTTATTAAAAAATGAGATTTTTTTTATAATCAGAGAGAACTAGAGGACACTAAAGATTGCAATTAAAGGAAAAGAACATTTGAACTTGACTTACAATTATAGAATGAAGCAAAATGTTCTTAGACATATTGAAGGATATTTTTGAACAATTGACTCAGAAGTTAATTTTAATAGTGCCAACAGAGTGATCTGCCTCTATGGCAAGACTGCATCTAAAAAGTATTTTGGAAGAGGAACACATTTTACCTGACAAGGTAGAAACTGAGTTTAAAGTCGATTTTCAAATAACAGATTACAAAAATCACATGGAAAAAGATGTAACACTGGACATATAAAAGAAACCAGCTTATGTCTCTATAAATAAAAGGGATATACAAGTGATAAACTAAGACAGTGACCTGGATAATTTTCCTATACTGCATTGGATTTACAAAACAAGTTTGTTAAAGTTTTGAAGAATCTCATGAGAAGGGACAAAGGAAAAATTGAAAAATATTAAGTTCTATGACATTCTAGACAGCATACTAAAAAGCAGAGACATCACCCTGCCAACAAAAGTGCGTATAGTCCAGGCCATGGTTTTCCCAGTTGCAATGTATGGCTGTGAAAGTTGGACCATA